TATTCAAAATCTAAATCTAATCTGCCATTTAAAAATTGAAGTGTTTAGACCACTTACATTTAATTTGGTTATTTATATGTTTGGGTTTATATCTACCATGTTGCTGTTTGTTCCATATGTTCTTTTTTTTTTGGCAAGATCTCACTCTGTCATCTAGGCTATAGTTCAGTGGCAGGATCCTGGCTCACTGCAGCCTTGACCTCTTGGGCTTATGTAATTCTTCTGCCTCAGCCTCTTGAGTAGCTGGCTAATTTAAATAAAATTTTTTATAGAGACACCATGTTGCCTAGGCTGATCTCAAACTCCTGGGCTCGAGTGATTCTTCTGCCTTGGCCTCCCAAAGTGCGGGGGTTGCAGGTGTGAGCCACCATGCCTGGCCCTGTTCCATATGTTCTTTGTCCTTTTCTTTCTCTTTTATTGCCTTCTTTTGGGTTAAGTGATTTTTATCATGTTATTTTATCTCTTTTCTTGGCTTATTACATACCCCTTTTTCTAGAGGTTACTTTGCAGTGTACTGTATACATCTTTCACTTATAAAAATCTACTTTCAGGTAATAGATATACTTCACATATATTTTAAGACGCTTACAACACTTTGATTTCCCTATTCCTGGCTTGTGAGTCATTGTTGTCATATAGTTACTTCTACAGTTGTTATAAATTACAATATTCATTATTATTGTTTTGCTTCAAATAGTCAATTATCTTTTGAAGTTATTTTATGAGTTAGAAGAATATTATGTTATAGCTACCCATATATTTACTATTTCCAGTGCACTCCCATTCCTTTACGTAGTTGCGTATTTCCAACTGGTACTTTATATTGAGTGACTTTCCTTTTACTTTTCTTTTAGTGTAGATCACCTGGGAATCTTCCAGTTTTGAATATCTGAAAATGTCTTTATTTCACTTTCATTTTTTAAAGTTTTTTTACCCCTGAATGTTGAATTCTAGGTTATGTTTTGTTTTTATTTCTTTAGTTGTTTAAAGTGGTTGCTCCAAAGTCATGTGGCTTTTATTGTTTTCGACAAGATATTATTCTTCTTGAAAGAATGTGAAGAAGTAATTCTTTGTTCTTCTGTATATAGTATATCTTTTTTTCCACTGACTCGTTTTTAGATTTTCTTTTTACTTATGCAGTTAAGCAACTTAATTATGATGAATCTTTCATTTCTATCTGTGTCTTTTCCTTGGGGTTTGTTGTGTTCCTTGGGCCTTTGGATTAATAGCTTTCATAAAATTTGAAAAAATGTCAGATGTTAATTCTTCAGATATTGTTTTTATCCCTTATTTTTTTGTCACCTCTTTTTCAAGGACTCCAGTCACATTTATATTAAACTGCCAGTAGTTGTTCTGGAGCTTGCAGTTGCACTCTTCATTTTTAAAAATGAGTTCTCTAATCTTTCCTTTTGCAATGACTAATCTGCTCTTAATCCCCAAAGTGTACTTTTAATCTCAGATATTGTGCATTTTATCACTAGAAGTTTAATTTAGATATTTAAAAAATATTTTCCGTCCCGCGCCTTTGGGAGGCTGAGGTGAGTAGATTGCCTGAGCCCGCGGGTTCGAGACCCGCCTGGGCAGCGAGACCTCATCTCTACAATAAATCAAAAAATCCGCTGGGCATGGTAGCGCATGCCTGTAATTCCGGCTACTTGGAAGTCTGAGGTGGAAGGATCGCCGGAGCCCAGCAGGTTGAGGCTGCGGTGGCCGGGAGCGGCCACTGCACTCCAGTCTGGGCGACAGAGTGAGACTCCAACTCAAAAAAAAAAAATTTTTCCGATTGGACTCAGTGGCTCAGCCTGTAATCCCAGTGCTTTGGGAGGCTGAGATGAGTGGATTGCCTGAGCCCACGGGTTCGAGACCCGGCTGGGCAACTTGGCGAGATCTCATCACTACAGTAAATCAAAAATTAGCCAGGTGTGGTAGCACGTGCCTGTAGTTCCAGCTACTTGGAAGGCTGAGGCAGAAGGATTGCTGGGGCCCAGCAGGTTGAGGCTGCGGTGGCTGTGAGTGTCCTATTGCACTCCAGCCTAGGTGACAGAGACTCGGACTCAAAAAAAAAAAAAAAAAATCTTGGGCTTTGCTTCAGAACACAGTCAAGATATTTGGAAACATTTTGATTCTTTCATAGGTCACCTGCAAACTACGTTAGAACATACCATAGCAGCCTTTAATTTTGGCCTAATTTTTCTCTGCTACTGAGGTGGTACCCTGCTGAGTGTGCATCTAACGCTCCATGCATTATAAGGGTCCCCCCACCCCCGCCTGATAAAAACACCATTTCCAGCCTCATCTGAACCCTGGGGATTTTTCCATAATCTGCTTTTGTCTGGTTCTTTCCCTATCCTTGGGCAATTTCATGTGCATGCACTGACTAGTATTCAACTGGAGACTTGGGGGAGATTTAAGAGGACACTTTGCATCTCCCAAATTCCATTCCATCTGCTCAATTCAGGGACACTGCTAAGCTTCATCTTCATTCACTCTCCTGGTGCTTCATTTTGGAAATTCTATCCAGGTTATAAATGAGAAATTAATAATACGCACTTTTTTGTTTTCCCTCTTTCAGGATTTGCCAATGAGCACTACTTATTTTGTCCTATTGTCCAATGTCTGAAAACTGTTGTTTCATATTTTTCCCAGTTTGGGGGGGCACTTAAGGTGGGAGGGTAACTACAGTCTTTTTTTATTCTTTGTTGGGCAAAGTGGAAATTCAGACCGTGCATTCTTTTGGGGGAGGTGTTTTATTTTATTTTATTTTTAGCTTTTTATTTTAAATATGTGGGGTACAATTCAGGATTAGATGTACAAGTGTTCATCATATAGGTAATGTTTGAACCTCCCTTTGACCTCACTTCTCCTGGTTTGAGATCAGGTACTCTTACTGATGTTATGTGTCCCTCCTCTGGCAGTTTCTGGCTACTATCAACCCCTGTCTTATAGTATTATGGTAAATGTTCAGGGTTCACTTATGAGTGAGAACATGTGGTACTCAATTCTTTATTTCTGTGATAGATCACTGAGTATGATAGACTCTAAATCCATCCAAGTTGCTATGAAGCCCATAATTTTGTTCTTCTTTATGGCTCTGTAATATTCCATCGTGTATATGTACCACCTTTTTTAAATGCAGTCCAGTTTTGACAGGCAGTATAGCTGGTTCCATGTTTTTGCTATTGTGAATAGTGCTATAATAAACATGTGTGTGCGGGTATCTTTTTTGTAGAATGATTTGTATTCCTCCTGGTATATTCCCAGAAGGAGAATTGCTGGGTCGTAGGGAAGGTCAATGTCTAGTTCTTTTAGAAGTCCCCACACTGTTTTCCATAGAGGTTGAACTAGTTTGCATTCCCACCAGTACTGTAGAAGCATACCCATTTCTCCACATCCTCGCCAGCATGTTGTTTTTTGTTTTATTAATGATGGCCATTCTTACCCGAGATGGGTGGTATCTCAGTGTGGTTTTGATTTGCAATTCTCTGATGGTTAGTGAGTCTGAGCATCTTTTCATGTGTCTGTTGACTCCTCGTATGTCTTCTTTTGAGAACTATTTATGTCTTTTGCCCACTTTTTAATGGAGCTGCTTGTTTTTTCCCTTTCAGCACATTTGAATTCCTTGTAGATTCTGGATGTTAGGCCTTTGTCAGATATACAGTTGGCAAGTATTTTTCCCATTCTGTGGGCTGTCTCTCCACTCTCTCAATGGGTTCTTTATCTGTTCCATTGGTCTGTGTACCTGGTTTTGGTTTTTATTATTATAGTCTTATAATAAAGCTTAAAGTCAGGAGGCATGATGTCTCCCTCCCGGCTTTTTTTTTTTTTTTTTTGCTGAGAATTGTTTTGAATTGTTTTGGCTATTCGTGGTGATTTATGTTTCCGTATGAATTTCTGTATTGTTTCCAGGTCTGAGAATGATGTTAGTAATTGACCATGCATTCTTAACTACAACTAGAGTACTTTTTATCTAAATACATACATAAATCATGACAGAAAGTTTTCAGGAGCAGAAATATTGACTAGGATTCGGTGCTTTAAGACTATTCTTGTTTGTCTTTATGTGATTTGTTCTTTTATTCCCCCTGCATATACATATTATCTGAAAGTTCCTTTCATAAGAAAACAACATTATCTTATCACAGTGGGGTGAGAAAAGTACAATAGTGACTGCTAAATGTCCCTCAAATACTTCCGCCTCTTTTTTTTATTAGTGAGAAAACTCCTGTCTGTTAGTGAAATGTCATGTTCAGCTTCTGTCAATAATCTTAAAATAAAGGGGAGTACTATTCTTTGTTCCTTCATCTTTCCTGCTAGCTGGAAGTTGGGGTGATGTTTACAACTTGACGCTGAGAAGGAAGCTCAGAGAATGATGGAACAGCAAGGTGGAAGATGTCTGGGTTCTTAATGCCATTGTGAAGCTGCGTGCTATATATTTTGTTCTTTCCACCCTGAAATATTTTTTGTTGACAAAAGGAAAATTAGACTTGTTGTATTTTAGCCATTGCTGTCTTGAATGTTCCGTTATTCATAATTGAAGCTAACTCTAACTGATTCCATAAGAGAAAGGAGAGAAAGGCAAGGGGCAGCTAGCTGTGTGTCTTAGTCACTTATTAGTCAAGGATTGTATTTTTCATATAACTCACCCATAACTCTGACTTTTCATTATTTCAAGAACATATTACAATTTAAAAAGTACCTTTGTATATATTATCTCATTTGATAATTGCAGCATCTATTAGAGAGCAAGAACAGGGAATATGATCCCATTTTAGAGGTGAGAAAACAACCTACAATGGTGCAGTGGCCACAATAAACACTCAACAAGTTAGTGGGAAAGGTAGGATGAAGCTCTTTTCTTCTACCCTGAATTCAGTATATTATCCTTGATAATAGTTTTTGTAAATCTATTGATCTTTGATGGAATTTTTTGTAGAATTGTGGGGTTGGATTATTAAAGGTAATTACACTAGATCCTGATTGTTTTATTTGTCTTTCTAGCAAAAGAGTGAATCATGCTTAAGAATAGCAGAAGGATTCGGCCCAAGAAGAGGAAAAGAAAACCAGAAAAGTTTATGCCATGGATTGCACGTATCTTCAACTACCAGTGCTATGTGACCTTCCTTACTGGCTACTACAGTTGCCAGTGGAAATTCAGACAACAGGAAAAAACTAAACTTGGATCTTGTTGCTGCTCTTGGGTACAGAGAGATAAGAAGGAGCTGGATCACACTGTCTCAGATGAGGGAGCATTGGCCCCTGCTC